AGAAACAAAGCGGCGGAGCCAGAGATGATGATAGACTTAGAGATAACAGAGTATAGAGTCAGTAATAGAGAAGATGAACGAATTAGAGTCTGTCTATATTTCTGAGATGAGGTATTATGTACAGTATTTACATTAGTTGGACTATTGCCCTCATCTTTGTCGCCATATTTGTCACAACGTTTCGGCCGTTGTACGCTCCGACCTTCTTCAGGTGGTTGGAATTTCGAACTGAACCTTTTATGCTAGGCCACAAAAATCTCCTGAGCCGACCAAGCATAGAAATAAATACAATATGGGAACCAGTAATAAGGAGTGCCAGAGAAAAGCAATGATAACAAAGTTGCAATATGAACTCTGGTAAAGACGTGCAATGATAACAGCAAAATTGCAATATGAGCACTGGTAAAAAATGATAATGAAAACATTAGGTTTATAATACTCAGAATTTCATACCCAGATGTCCTCAAGGACACATGGCACAGTGGATAAAGGCGTTGGTTAGATCCAGTGACAGACCCAAAGAAGGTGAGTTAAGGCAGTGGAGAACTTTCAGAGGGAAAATTAGCAGGAGATAACTGATAACTGACATCCATCACACATGGCACGTGAAACTAGAACAGTCTACCCCAGTGATCGAAATTCCAACCACCTGAACAACGGCCGAAACTTTGTGACAAATATGGCGACAAAGATGAGGACAATAGTCCGACTAATGTAAATAATGAACGAATTAGATGATTCCGGCATAAACAAGATTATATAAATAATAAATAAATGAGAATGTATCAACATGGAAATAATCTCTCTTCCTTTAATAAGTACACTAAGAAATTTATTCGTGAATATGAGATGATCCTGTTAAAAATAAGTAGATAAAACTTGTTTACATTGCTCAGTGTGTCATTTCCCAATATATATATATATATATTTTATGACATTAAACTACATCCGCGTCCTGGGTAAGATGATAGACTCGGTCCAACAGCAAGGTACTCTGATTAGGTGGTTTTGAGGAGCTTGGAACCAGCTCTCAATTGTTGGTTTTCACGGATTCACGCTTATCCGCGGTGGAACCACTTGTTAGGATCCCAGCTATGGGTAAATAGTTCACCCCCAAACTGAGGTCAAACACTATGAAAGTCGATTTTAATATCAGGAATACTCTGTAAAAAATTATTACCAGCAATACATTATTATCAGCAAGATATTTTTGAATAGAAATATTACCAGCAATACGTTTTCGAAAAAAAAAGCAGCAATAAAATATTGTCTGTATTAAATAGAACATTGAAGTTGATATGCGGTAAAACAAAACAAAAACACACACACGCACACACACACACACACACATGCACACACACATATATATATATATATATATATATATATATATATATATATATATCAGTTATTATATTATATCTCTATAATAATGACGCGTATCTTTACATGTACGCTTCATATACATGGTGCGATAGATAAACTGTCTTTTTAAACCTCATTTTAACAGATATATTTATCAAAATTACACAAAAAATATTTTGAAGTAATAATAATTAAATTTATTCAATAGAACAGTCATTGTCTTCAGCTTCTACTTCTAGACGATTTCGGAATCTCCTGCAACACTTCTGGATGGATTCCTTGTTTAAGTTGTTGAATGCTACAATAATTCTTACCTTCAGTTCATCTTTAGCATTTCAATGAGTTTTGTTGGTCTCTGGCTCAACTGTGCCCCACAAATAATTATCATCGTGCTGCAGTTTCGAGAATTAGGGTCTATGTGGTTAAATAATTTATCTGACAGCCATAACTAGGTTCGCCTTCTTGCGTGGCATGGTGCCAGACATAGGGTTTCTAGCAGTCACCCTCTTGAGCCAGGGCAGTACTACGTTATCAAGACGTAGGTTTCCATGTTGACTTTGAGGCCCTGTGAGAAGATGACACCATCACTAGTGATCACTTCAAACACCTTCGCAATCACCATTAGACTAATGCGAATCTTTCCGCATCGTCTGGCTTAACAACCAAACAATCTGAAATGTATTGGAGCTTCTGATGCGAATGCTAAGCAATACATCATGCTGTTTCCAAATTTCTGGTGGAGGGAATTGTGTCATGGTGCTCTTTTACTCACAGAGGGTGCCCAACTGACCCTACTATAATATACGTTGAACATAATCAAAAATCAACAAGACGCATGCGCGGAATTATAAACATAACATGATAATTTATCCATCGCACCCTGTATGACTATATATATATATATATATATATATATATATATATATATATATATATATATATATATATATATATAAAAAGAGAGACAGACAGAGAGATGGAGTTGCCTTATAAATTGTATTATGCTAACAGTGTAGCATGCAATCAATTAATTCTTGAGCAAAATAAAAATTAAAGAGAAATAAAAGCACACGAAAACCAGGCGAAAGGAATAATCAACGAAACGCCATAAATCTTCCTTAAGTGTGTGAACATTATTTCTATAAATTACCTCCCCTTGGACATTAAATACATTTACTTGTATAATTAAACTCTCGGATGGTGACAGCGAGTCTGGGTGTGTGCAACACAAGGGACTCTGGGCGGTTGAATTAAGAACTGCAGAATTAAAGAAACAGCCACAAAGAAATACAAAAAAAAGAATGGAAAACAAAATAACTGAAGCTGAGCAAGGAGGAATAAAATGAGAAAAAATCTGGAATATAATTAGAATATGGTGAATACTTTGATGAGTTATGCTAGTAAGATGAAAAAATGGAAATATTAACGTAATGTATTTGGAAAAATGCGCGTGTACACGAATTTGATGAAACTGAGAAAGATAAGCTTAAAATACTGAAACATACATGACCTTTTTGGCAATAGGGAAGAGTAATGAATGTATTAATTCAAGGGTGGGGAAGGAATATATGTGGAGTGAGATAAGAGTGATTGTTACAGGGAATCAGGATGAATGAAACATATATATCAATGGTAAATATATTAAGTATATACCGGGAGAAAATATAAGTAAAATCTACTATTATGCTGAATAAAAAAGAAAGAAAGAAAAACTACAAAAGAAAGAAAGAAAGAGAAAAAAGAATGAAAACAAAAAGAAAAAAGATAAATAAATATTGATAGAAAAAGCAGAAAGAAAGAAAGAAAGAAAGAAAGAAAGAAAGAAAGAAAGAAAGAAAGAAAGACGCGCGTCTTGTACTACATCTATCGGCGTGGAAAACTGAACTAGCGGGCTGATTTCAAATTTTCGCGTTGTCTGTAGCCTTCACTCTCGAATAAATGCCCCTGTGAAAGAAATCTGTTTCAATCTCGTCTCATTTCCATTTGCACAATTATTGGTAAAGTTGAAGGAATTCTCCCTTTTCATGATATCTTACTACACAGATCAAATACAGGTTTTCTAACGTCCGTGTACCTGAAACCAAACCATTATAGCTTTATATACCCGTTGGGATTCTTTCTGTTCAAAATCCTGAAAATCAATTTGATTAAAACCTTGGTTGATCGGGCATTTTGTCATATGCTCGGAAACTAAATTCGATTCAGAAACTGAATTTATTAGAAACATGCGAAGTGGGAATGGATACTCTCTGTGGAGCCCAGGATTCGGTTTCTACAAAAAATTCGTAAGTTTAGACCGATTGGACTCCATAAATGTCTCATGTATTTACTTTTAACGTATATTGGTGAGGTGACAGCGAGATATAACAATAAAATTTAAGTTGGTGTAAGATATTGTCTTTTTCCCGCCAATCCACGCATTTTTTTAGTACCTGACATTTGCTAAAACGGACCTGGAATGATATTCTGCCTACACATCATATTATTCCCCTAATTTACAAATTCAGACGTCAGTGTTTTTCTTTTATGTGTCATGTCCGTTCTAGACGTAGCCTTCCACATCGAGCTGCCCCTTGTAACTGTTAATGTTTTGTCTTTTTGTTATTTCTCCCCAAAACTGTTTTACACATGCTCATCTTTCCCTGAATCTGCCCTGTGAGTATCAGGTTTTCCAAGCCCTCTTACCTCATTGCTTGCCCCAGAAATTTCAACTGCCTTTACTGATGTTAAGTACATTTTTCATTTTGGTTTCCATTTCCTCTAACACATCGTCGTTGCTCACATGTTCAGTCCATGTTATTCTTAGCATCCTTTTGTAGAACCACATTTCTGTTGCTTCAATTTTTTTTATCTCTGAGGATATTGCTCAGAATTCGCTGCCATACAGGATGACACTGCAATACTGAAAACAGATTGAATCGAGTTTGGAGGCACGGATCAACCAACACGTGCCAACCAATATTCACAATTTACACAGGTGCGTTAACATATTTAGGAATAGATGAACATTTCATTGAAATCCAGCTAGCAGTCGGCTCGGTCGTATTGTCCGCACAAGCTCGCAGCGATGAGTGAGGCTAATACCGAATATCACTTAAAAGTTTAGGAGACAGTATACATTAAATCCTTAGAACCACATCTTAAGTAACCTGAAGGAATTGTTGGTGAGTAAGGAGGTAACTCGCCGTTAATGCAACATTTTTAATATAGCATTAGTCTGCAGTTTTATACGTTTTTAGTAGCTGGACACATTATTTGTCGTCTATATTTGCTCCCATGAGAAAGTACCGATAACCGGTTTAGCTGTTTTTAATCGATATATTTCGGTATTACCAAGTTACTATGTAATTTTTTTACCGTCTATTTAATATGAAGGACACTATTTCGCTGACTAGCCTTTTAATATATCTGATTTTATTGGTATTATAAAATTAACATATGAGAAAATAATACCTTATATATATATATATATATATATATATATATATATATATATATATATATATATAATACTAAAGCTCTCTGAACTTTGTTTGCTTGCTTGTGTGTTTGCCGCCATGCACACGAAGTCATATATAGAAAGTGGATAAAGAAATATGTATATTTATTATCGTGTAGGAAGGAGGGGAAAGGAAATGGTGTCAATTGACAGTGAGACCAAAAAAAAAAAAAACGCTCTCTTTCCACCTCTGTCTCTCTCTTTCTACAACTCACTTTCCACTCTTTTTATTTCCACCTATCTCTCTTTCCACCCCGCTCTCTTTCCACCTTCCCGTGATTGCGTGCGTACTTATTTATATTTCAGCTTTTTTTAACAAACAATATTTTAAATATTTAAAACAAATAATTTCGCTATATTTAAAATATTTTAATATGATTTAAAAATACGATTTCTTTATACGGTATGTATTTTTATATCAATTCTCTTCAAACATACAATTTTTTTTAACATTGAAAGCAATTTCAAAGTTTTATAATCTGAATCTTCAGTGACTCAACGGGTCAAGGGTAGTATAAAACGAAAAGTCTGCGAATTGCGCGTACGTCGGCCGTCGAGCGCATAATAATTTAATATTCTTTCCACCTCTCTGTACACCTCTGTCTTTTCACCTCTCTCTTTCCACCTCACTTTTTCCACCTTTCTCTTTCCACCTCTCTATTTCAACAACTCTCTCTTTCCACCTGTCTGTTTCCACCTTTCTCTTTCCACATGACTGTTTTCTCATCTCTCTCTTTCCACAACTCTCTATTTCCACAACTCTCTCTTTCCACCTCTCTGTTTCCACCTTTCTCTTTTCACTTCTATGTCTTCCCACGTCTCTCTTTCTACCTCTGCCTTTCTATCTCTCTTTTCACCTCTCTCTTTCCACATCTCCCTCTTACCACCTCTCTGTGATTGCGTGCATGCTTATTAATATTTCAGCTTTCTTTAAAAAAACAATTTTAAATATTTAAAAATATTTTTGGCATATTTAAAAAATGTTTTCAAGTGAATATGATTTAAAAATATCTTTTGGCATATTAAAAATGATATTTTTAAGTTATTCTGATTTTAAAATATTTTAAGTGAATAAGATTTCAAAATAAGGGTTGTTTATACAGTAAGTATTTTTATATCAACTTACTTCAAAGACACAATTTTTTCATGTTGAAATCAACATCAGTGTTTTATAAACTGAAGCGTAAGTGACCCAAAGGGTCTCGAGTAGTTATAGTTTAAAATTTGCTATATTGAGCCGAATATCATAATGAAGCGTGAAACTGATAGTCTATATACAGGGTGACCCCAAAAAATGGGAATTTTTGAAGTGCGTATTGCCAGACATGAGCAAGTGGCAACACTGCGAGACAGTGACCTTGAGCAAGTAAACATTTCGTCATTTAGAATTCAAGAGGAAATTCACAGTATCCCAGCAGAGATGAGGAATCTTAATAGCAGATTTCAAGAATGCATTCGTACAGGAAGACGCCATCTACAGGACGTAATTTTTAAAAAATGAAAATTCCATCATTGTTTCTTAAATGGCATGTTTCAAGGTTTCAATTACTATGAATAAAATATTTTTCTTCCATCACTCTTGGGTTTATTGGATTGTTAAAAAGTTCCCTTTTTTGAGGGTCAACCTATAGTTGTTAATCCCTATGTCTACACTGTTCATCCATACATCCATAAATATTGATAAGAAAAATGGCTTATCCCGAACAAAATACCTCAGCCAGTTAAGTCTAGGCCACATAAATTACTAAAGGAGATCGGACATTTCTTTATAAATTACTCACTATTCAAAATTGAGGCTTTATTATTGCAAAGTGCAACAATTAATATTTTGACTCGGAATTTTGCAGACACAGATTCGAATAAGATTTATCTTAACTCAGACGGGATAATCTCAAAATGTCTATGCAACGCCGATGAGTCAGAGTTGTGGCCTGACGATTGCATCTAGAATGAAACAGACTGTCGCCTCTAAGAGTTGACTTCTATGTTCATTTATATATATATATATATATATATATATATATATATATATATATATACTACTATTGCTGACGCAAAAGCTCTTCTATGAATTGATCCATGTGAGTAACTGGCGTGTTTATTCTAAGATGAATGCATAAAAATTCAATTCCCTCTCTGCCGAGAGCTGAAAGCTCAGGGGAAAAATATCCGATTGATTCCAAATTGGCTGGGTTTCAATCCTAGCTTGAGGCAATCGGATATCTAGCAACACTGAGGAACTCTGACACAGCGAAACAGTCTGTCTGTGGATGACACATATATATGCCCCCGAAAAAATAAAATTCGATTGAGCACTTTAGAAGGAAAAGCACGAAATTGTAAACAGTGACTCCTACTGCTGTTACATATATATATATATATATATATATATATATATATATATATATATATATATATGAAACATTTTTATATATTAAGTTTCAACTGTCTTAAGACGTTTTTTTTTAATTAGATGTATCTAGAATAACCGCGTCATACACAATAATATTTTAATGGGAGTAACCATAACGTAATATTAAAAAAGAAATAAATTTAAATTTAAATTATCTCACTCCCCTTTTCTCCGTGCGCATGTGTAGTGGCAACACCAGGAATCTGGTTTAGTCTAACGGAGTTCTTTTTATGTTTCTCATCGTTTTTTTTCTTGATATCTAAAAAGTGTATATATTGTTTTCCCATATAATTATATATATATATATATATATATATATATATATATATATATATATATATATATATATATATATATATATATATGTGTGTGTGTGTGTGTGTGTATGTCTTAATAAATGTTTAATCAAATTAGTTTTGGCCGACTATAAAGGTCCCTCGGCAGTGTGATAGGGACATATAAATTTACTGAATTATTACCAATATAATCTACGTAGGACATTTTAATTACAGACGACAAAAATAACAATTTTGAAAGTTTCTGTGTGCAGAACGTCACAATGTTTAAATATTCTAAAGGGGTATTGTTTAGTGATAGTAAAGTTAAAATTATGTTTGTAAGTTTAATATCTATACAATATATAGTCATCCGCAGACAGACCGTTTTGCTGTATCATAGCTTATCAGTGTGGCTAGACATCCGATTACTTCAAGCCGGTATCGAAAACCCGACCGATTTTGCATGTCAGAGATTCTACGCCAAAGCTATCGTCACCCAGCTGAAGGGGGAAATAGTAACGTTTTTACGATGCGAAAGACATCAGCAGCTTCCTAGCTCGATTCGATTTAAAGATCATTATATATATATATATATATATATATATATATATATATATATATATATATATATATGTATGAATGATAACTTTACAATTAATAAAAATAACAGAACTTTACAATATTTAAATATCAGATTGGGCAACAGTGAACTGTGTGAAGTGTATTTAGCAACATTAGACAAACCCTAATCAACAATTGCTTCTCTAAACACGAAAAAATATAATTAAGATTAACGAAAATTCGTAAACCAAAATGTCACCAGATTCCTCCCTGACGCAAATAGAATAAACACTCGATAAACTTATTTTATCGTAACCAAATGCACCCTAATTATAGACAAAATGAAATAGCATTTAAAAACGTAATGCACTGGGACATATCATTACAAAATGTTTAAAACATCGAACTGAATTATTAACACCTCTCTTCTAAATCCCCCTATGTAAAAATAATGCTATCTACGAATTATCTTGCCTCCGAGGAGATGGCATTTTCCACACTAATAATGAAAAACAGCATTAAATACTTACATTGAGTACACGTGAACCACACAACCTGCCCTGTGTCGAAACCCAGTTGAATACGTACACACATCGATCAGCACATCATGAACTACCAAAGTACAACTATCAGCATGAGACCAATATTAGTAGATAACACCAAAATACTCTACAACACCTGTTGCGGAAACGGAGAGTGAGTAACCTGGGAAGCAGGACTTGTCGCTGTTGTTTTTAGTGAAAAGGTTAATTTCTTCTTTGCCTCAGCAAACGTAAATTCGAGGAAAAGGAATACGTCGTATTTTGGATAAATAAATGTATAAGTTTTTTTTGTTTTTTTTTTTACATATATACGAAAGCAGCATACTACTCGTTGCTGTTGTAAAAGGCGACAGAGTGGGGAAGGAAGAAAGAAAATGAAAGAATGTTGGTTTTGGCTGTCGGCTGATGCTTTGTGAAGACAGCGGCGGCGAAAGGATGAAAGTTGAAAAGTATCAAGTTCAGTCTCAGTTTGCCAGGGGCGTTCTTGACCAACCTCTGCGTGTCGACATCTCAGCAGGGTTCTCTCTCCCTCTTTGTCTTCTGCGGCGTTAAATCAAGCAATTTATATCCGTTATATCAGCTCCAAATCACAGTCTGTGTCTTTTAGTGGGAGTTATTTCTACTGGTGAATATATAAAGTTAATTTTATCATTTAATTCCGAAAACATGCACCGAGCCATGATGCGCAGAGATATGTTTTCGTATTCTGCCTTGGGCCGTCGTGCAATCAACATCCGGTTTAGTGTAAGAAACATGACACACCCAATACAAGCTAAGTCTCGGAACTCTACAACCTATTATTATGCATAACAAGCTCACATAAGATAAAATATCATTCACTACAGGAAGAAGGTATCTTGAAGTGCATATGATATAATTAATATGCACACATATATTATCAGTATTAAAATTAAAAAAGAACAATAAAAATAAAATTAAGAAATATATATAAAAAATAAAATAAATATGAAAATAAAATAAAAATACAAAATAAAATAAAGAAATCGCTTTCATTTTGTTCGACCTCGTTCCGTACAAATGTCGTCACGCAAAACGATTTCAGACGTCCAGCTTCCCAAAAAATATCAGTATGCAGACAAAGGAATTCTAAATACCACACAGACACCAGATTGGAGAATCAAAATGACTTGAACAAAAAGAAAATATGAACTTCGGACATTTCATACGCCATTTTGAGTGCAATCCTCAACATCTTATTCGAAAATTGCAAACATAAAATAAAAATTCTAGGAGACAGACGTTGTCAGTCCTTTTTATTATTATGAATCCTTGCTGCCTAAATATATCATATTCATCTATCTATCTATCTATCTATCTATCTATCTATCTATCTACACACACACACACACACACACATGAACACACACACACACATATATATATATATATATATATATATATATATATATATATATATATATATATATGTAATTACGTGTGTGTGTGTGTGTGTGAAAACTGAAGATAAAATAAGTTAATAAAACAAGGACAAACGAATGGGTAAGAATATAATCAGCACGAGAAACATTTATTAAATATTAATTATTAACCATATGACAGAAAGGAAAAACGGAAAGAAAGTTTTTAATTTCGGAATTTTCATCAACTGACTGAGAAATAAACAGAGAAATGGGATTTATTCACCGACAGATGTTTTTGTAAACGGTGTATTTTCTGGTGGAAAATATATTGTTAAGAAAACTCGATCTCTGTCTTGTTCCTCAATGTGCCAAATTTTTTATAAAAAAAATCTATCAAAATATATATATATATATATATATATATATGGGTTAAACATTTGTTACAAAGGTTCTGTTCAAAGACTTATCGTATAGACTAATATGAGCATTGGAAAAAAGGCACCTAACATTTAATATAGTGTTATTTATTTATAATATATGAATTTCTGTTATTTACAATTGGATTTTCAGTGTTTTTTCTTAGAAAAAGAATTTGTTTTTTTCGCGTTTTTATATTTCGTTGAATCTATTTATACAATCAATTAAGTATGGGTTAGGACTAGTTGATGAAAAATATTTCATTATTAGTCTGCCATTGTTCAGTGGTTCTGTAGTCGCATTGATAGAATGGGAAAACACTAAGATTTGGCAGGTTTTGTCTTACGCATTCCTCTATATGTTGGCTAACGATTTTTATTCCGGTGTGGGGGTCCCTATTTTGTTGGTGATGAATTGTCATCATTTGCCGGAGTGACTGGCCAGTTTGGCTATTGTAATGTTCATGGCAACATTTTCATGTAATTAAGTATATTAAATTCTCTGAGTCGCACGAGAAATCATTTTGAATTTTGAAATTTGATCCATATTTAAACTGAAATTCATGGCACTCTAATAGGTAAAGGGCTATGCAGCTACCTATTGTCCTATGTGCGACTTTAATTGTGTTCTGCAGTTTTGCACTGCTCTGTATCTTTGTTAGTGATTTAGGTTGTCGTTTACTTTTTATGATACGTAATTTTTGAAAATAGGCTTTCATTTTTTTTTGTCCTTTAGTAGAATCGGTAGGTTAAGTTGTATGTTTGTGTAGATTTCTGTGTTCTTTGCGTTGAAAGGTGAGTAATAAGAGATGACATTCTTTTATTTTTTTTTCTTTTGTTTTTTTGAAGTGTTTGGATGTTAATTTGTTTTGTTTTTTCAATATTGTTGTCGACTAAATTTTATGGGTATTTTCTCATGATGAGTATTTTTTTTGATATCTTCCAGTCTGTGGTCTCATGTAGTTCTAGTTTCTCTCTAAAAATGGTTAAGGTGGGCTCAGTATGTTTTATATTGCTGTATTTATCATTATTGTGTATTTTTGTATTACACCTGTTGTTCTGTCCTTGCTTCTTATTTATGTGTTGGTTTTGATTCAGTCTGAAGTTATTTTTTAGTTCCGATTCGTGGTCTGTTTGCTCCAAAGTTGTAGTTTCTAATTGTTTCTCTGTTGTTATATACATTTTCCATGTGATTCTTTCTTATATGGTGGTATTGGTTTTGTTCAGAATTGTTCATGTACATCCAAGGTTAGATTGTGTTATCTCCCCCTTGTTGGCCTCTTTATATGTTGGAATAATGGTGGTTGTCTCTGGAGCATTTATCATTTCCCTTTTGTCAATCTTTTGGGCTGTATTTTATCTATAGTGTGATTTCCTTTCATGGCTTGAAAATTGAAGTAGATTTCGGCGGAGTTTTCCATGTAGTTGTTATTATTTGATTTTCGTAAAGAATGGATTTCCTTCGCTGTATTCTATTTTAAACTGTTTTTCTTAGTTTGAAAACCAGTTTTCGTTTTATATATATATATATATATATATATATATATATATATATATATATATACATACGGTAATAGATTTCAGTTTGGATTTCATATGAGAATCACGAGAGAAATATGATAATCAAACATAAAACATATGATGAAGTATGTGTTAATAAAAAGCGCAATTATGTGTGATATTTGAAATAGAATGAAAATTGATAAGAAGAAGAAGATTAAAAGTGACGTAATATGAATTTAGAAAACATGGCTATGGGAGGTCAAATATGGAACGGAAATAAATCCGAACTTAAAATCGAGAAAGACATGAAACTCGAACAAAATTAGGAACGATTAGAGTGGAAAATGAAACAAGCATTCCATTGAGAGAGGGTCAGTTATTTTTTAGAAAACGATAGGAAAGTAAGAATTAAAAAAAATAAGCTTAAGACAGAATTTAAGTTGAAAGTAATATAAAAAAGAAATACGCAATAATTAATGAAGAACGAATGTGAGAGAGGGAGATAGGAAAGAAAGAAAGAAAGAGAAGGAAAGAAAGGAAGACAAAGAAAAAAGAGAGAGAATGAGAGAGAGAGAGAGGGGGGGCGATGTTATGCGGATAAGGAAAAATCTTAACTCTTAACACTTACTTATATCGTACTAATCGTTTTTCTATATTGATCCAGAAATTCTGTTGCCATCAGTTAAATCTTCCCATTGTGTTTCTTTTTATCATTTTTATCCAATTTTGCAAAAAAAAAAACTTTTTTTTTACTTTCATTTTTAAATTAATACATTTTTCTATCATTCTTTTTTCTTGTCACTTTCGTTTCCTTTTGTTTCCTTATATATTTTATTCACACATGCTGCCATTTTCATTTCATCCTAATTCTTTATTTTATTTTTTTCATTCTCTCCTTCCTGGCCTTTTCCCTTTCTCGCTTCTATGACAAGTAGATGTTCATGCGCAAGTAGCGTTACATTAGACAAGACAGAATCAGCCATAGTTAGCTATGCTAGTATTTATATCAAATCAAATATTACTACTGTTATTTCTACTACTATTACTACTACTACAACTACTAATACTGCACCTAATAATAATAATAATAAAATAATAATAATAATAATAATAATTATTATTATTATTATTATTATTATTATGCAGAAGAATAAGAATAAATGATCGATTATTACGCAACCTACAATAAAATAAGATTTCTTCAACAACTCAACACATATTTTATTTTCTTCGCTTATTTAAATGGTAATTGATTTTTGTTGTTTACTATCGGAATTTGAGTCAAAGGTGGAATTATTTTGATTATTTTAATGCAGATTTGCTAGATTCTGCGAATCATGTAACATGCGAATGAGTCATACTTTTTTGGTAGATTATTTTATATGAATTAATTATTTTTTTAAACATTTTCTTTTTTATCTGAACACAGAGCTGATCAGAAAACCTAATTTCATAAAATCTAACAAAACGGCACCATTTCAAACTAACGCAATGTGACTAAATTTCTATTGGAGAATAGTGATAAAACTTGTCTCACTGATAATATTAATAGTAATGGTAAAATTAGCAATCTCTTTATACGCAAATATTTGACATTCACTCGCCGCTAATCTTGATTGAAATTTATAAAATCTTTCTCTTAAAATAGTTTTTCATGGAAATGGTTTTCTCAACTACATTAATTATAATCGTTGTGGATTTCATTTTTAAGCTTGTGTGGAAAGTTGCTATCTTGTTTATGTCATTATATTCCCTTTTGATTTTAATTGTTGCTACAGCTGAGTGTTTCAAGTGATGTGATTTCTGTTATCCGCTAAAGATAAAAGTAAGGTAAAGTTCTCTGGTTGCGAATCTGTAGCACAGGTTTACAGGATGCTATGAATGTCATTCCTCTACAATACCCACATGGTTAATTCATTTCAATCTATTTTTGAACACTGATCTCTAGAAAATATTTGATTTCTAATAGTTTCAAAGTTTATGTTGCCTAGCTGATATCTTTCTGAATGAGTTGGCCGCTATGAATGGCAACTTTGTGAGATTCTCAATTTAACGTGCTATTTAAGATCATATCTCGAGAATATAATATTTATATTCTCTAGCATCTTGCTAGACGTGTTTAATTTTCATCACACAACGATAAACATCCCAGAGAATTTAATTTCCTAGTTAAAATAAATTAAGTACAATTTTAAATCCAGTTTTATTGTCTTGGTGTGGATTTCTAGTATACGTTTCAAAAATGTTTCATCAAAGATCACATGTTATATCGAAAACAGACGAAGGATTAATTAAGTTTATTAAATACTTCGTCATTATGCCTTGGTTTATCAATGTGGTTTTACACACATACACACACACATATGTATATATAGTAAAGGTAATAATTTTAGTTAATTTCAATATAAATTATTTAAATACCACTTATTTTTAATTCATTTAAAAATATCTTATTTTTGAATATAACTTGTCTTTGGAATAGTACTTGGAAGTATGATTTCGTATTTTTGAACATAAATTTATCTATATAATTTAAGTATTATTAAACCTATTTTAGTCTTCTCTTAGATTCAAATTAACGTTTCATTTTCATATAACCGCAATTTAATGTCATAAGATTAATATCCGTAAAGAATTTCATAAAACCTCTTCCTTTTAAGACGAATATTTTCCACCCTCCCTAACACCTGTCTACTGCCTTTCGTCTGACTGAAAATTTGAAATAGATAAAGTCTGTATTAGTTTATCAACTGTTTGTTTTTTTTATAGCTGTCATAGTTAGATTTCTAATTCCGACACGAACTCAGTATATACTTGGGTTGAATAAGACTGACGAATTTCGTCGGTTGAAATAACCTTATTCCTCATATGAGCTGATTTGGGATTTTACTGTGTAATATATATATATATATATATATATATATATATATATATATATATATGTATATACACTAAAAGCATTTTTTAATAGCTTCAAACAGTAACATCATTTTAACCCTGTACGCTCAAATTAATTCCGACACAAAAGCAAGTGAAAGTACGTCAAGTTCATAAGCCGGAACGTTTATGAAGCAAACAA